ATCGACTCTCAGGCTATCTCGGCCACAAAAGATTGTGTCGTAGGCTTTTCAGGAGGAGCGTGATTTACCCAGCGCCTTAGGACACCGCGACGTAGCCTATTTCGACCAAACTTTTTAGGTCGGAAGCTCCTTGAGGGATGAGTAGTCCATCTGTGATGTATGTAGCGGGTAGCCAGCTTTTGTTAAGGCCCTGCAATGAACGCTAGATGGCGGTACTTGCGTATGATGAGCAGCTGCGAAATTTTGGAACCATTTAAACTCCCTAAAAAATGAGACGAGCCTTGAGCAGAGTTTTATAACTACAGCCCAAGGTGCTAGGCTGGAAGGGGAAGAAGCTAATGAATATATAAGAACAAGGGTGACAGAAAAATTTCAACAAAGAAGTACTTTATGCACCACAACAGACAAGGACGAATCAAGTGGTGCATAGCTTCATTTTCACAACGAGAGTGGGAAAGGGCTGAGAAAAGGGTTCCTAGTAGTACATCAACAGGCCCTGATGGCATTTCAATTATGCTGATAAAGACATTAGGTCCGAAGTCTAAGCAGGCTTTGAGAGAGGCAGTGAGCAAAATAATAATCAATGGTGAAGTTCCCGATGGATGGAAATTTAGCAGGATGAGCATGATCTATAAAGGAAAGGGAGACAAAGCTGACATGAACAACTACCGTCTTATAACAGCGACATCAGTGGTCTACAGGCTGGCGATGCAGATTATAAAGAAAAGACTGCAGGCATGGATAGAGGATGAGGGGGTGCTGGGGGAACTGCAAAATTGGTTTCGGAAACACAGGAGGTTTGAAGACAATCTGTTCTCACTGACGCAGTGCATCGAAATAGCAGAAAAAGAACACAGGCCCCTGTGGCTAGCATTTTTGGATATCAAGGGTGCGTATGGTAGCGTGGTTCAAGAGGAATTGTGGGGAATACTGGACACGCTAGGCATAGAACATGTAGTCTCTAATCTTTTAAAGGATAACTATAAAGGCAACAAGGTAGTTATAAAGTGGAAAAAACAGGTATCCAAGCATGCAGAGGTGAAACGGGGGCTTAGGCAGGGGTGTCCCCTGTCACCCTTATTGTTCAGGACGTACCTACAAGAATTAGAGGTCAAATTACGGGAAGTGGACAGGGCTTCAACCTCTCCTTAGTCAAACAAGGAAAACCTATTGATCAGGCACTACCAGCATTAATGTACGTAGATGATATAGTGCTAATGGCCAACAACAAGAAAGATTTGCAAAGATTGATGGACATCTGCGTTAATGAGGGAGATAGGTTAGATTTTAGATTGAGTAAGGAAAAATCAGCAGTCATGATTTTCAAAGACAACGAAGGTAGTGAGCTTAGAATACAGGAGGTCACGCTAGAGATAACAGACAAGTACAAATATCTGGGCGTATGGATAAGCAATGGGACCGAGTACCTGAGGGAACACGAAATATACGTGACGACTAAAGGTTACAGGAATGCAGCAGTGATGAAAAATAGGGCACTGTGGAATTACAATAGGTATGATGTTGTGAGAGGAATATGGAAAAGGGTCATGGTTCCTGGGCTGACGTTCGGCAATGCGGTCTTGTGCATGATATCAGTAGTTCAAGCAAGATCAGAAATTAAGCAACGTGAAATAGGTAGGCTTGCTTTAGGAGCTCACTGGAATACACCAAATCAGTGAGTACAAGGTGATATGGGATGGACATCGTTTGAGGGCAGGGAAGCTAGCAGCAAGATAAAATTTGAGAAGCGATTGAGATAAATGGGGGAGGAGCGTTGGGCCAGGAAGGTTTTCAGCTATTTTTACATGAAGAATGTCGATACAAAATGGAGGAAGCGAACCAGGAAATTGACTGGTAAATGTTTAGAAAACAGCAGGTGGTCAAACCAAAAAAAACTATCGGTTAAAAAGAAGGTGATGGAAACGGAGACAGACATGTGGAGAATGGGCATGATTAAGAAGTCCGCACTAGAGATCTATCGAACATTTAAGCAGGAAAATGCCAAGGAAAGGATTTATGATAATTCTCGGGGTAGCTCTCTCTCGTTTGAGGCCAGGACGGGAGTACTGCGAACCAAGAAATATCGGGCCAAATACGAATGGGTAGACACAGTATGCAGTGCGTGTGGAGAGGAAGAAGAAACTGCCAAAATTTGATAATGTTCTGTAAAGGGCTTCATCCTATAGTTCAGGATGATGGCACAGAGTTTTTCAAATCACTGGGGTTTAGGGACCGGGAAGGCAAAATAGACTTTAAGCGGGTAGACCTACCTAGAAGGAGGTTATCTGATTGGTGGCTAAAGTAAAGGCATGAGTGAAAATTTAACTCTTGACTGCAAAGTAAGAATCCTCAAACTCACTTTTTAAAGAAAAAAAATAAGTCTAGTTTTTGGTTCATTGTTTATTACGGCTTGGTGGCGCTAGCCACCCCCCGATCTAAAGGGTACAGCCATATCCATCCATCCATCCATCAATCCATCCATCCATTCATCCATCCATCCATCCATCCATCCATCCATCCATCCATCCATCCATCCATCCATCCATCCATCCATCCATCCATCCATCCATCCGAGTATATGATGGAAAGTTGTGAGACGGCGGTGCTTCGAATAATCAATAGATTTACAGACAGATGGAGAGACAGACACACAGACAGATAGACTGACAGACAGACAGACAGACATACAGACATCGGAAGTACGTATGAATGAACGGAGAGACAGACAAACGTACAGACATACGGACAGGTTGACTGATGGACGGACAGACAGACGATTCATGGTTTACCGATAAAACCCTTTGAAGCATCGCCCCACTCATCATCATTGACTCCGTGTATCTGCTGCGATTTTTTAGTAGCTGCAACCTTCCTCACTATGGCTCTTGGATACATGCCTGGTTGTCACAGCGCCTTTATCGCTCGCTATGTAAGGTCATCTTCGAAGGGAGACAAAGCACACGTCGAGTCATAAGAACGTGCACTGCATCTGGGAAACATGATTAGGAAATCTGCCAGCTCTTTGTTTATCAATGTACAATAAGCAATCAACCAGTTTTGTAAGAAAACATTCCGTTTTCCTGTAATGTCGAATAAATGACAGAAGGCTTCACCTGGTTCGCGTTGTTATTCAACTATCTATTAAACAGCTGTGCGGCTGTCTTATACCATCTCAAGAAAAATGCCTACTAAGTGCTTGTTAGCTCTGCTGTACTTGCAGCACCACATAGAGAAAAATCACCAAAAGCCCAAAAGCGGAAAGTGAAATGACATGTGGAAACAATTTGCGACTCTCGTGGTGATCCTGACGCCAGTCCCTGGAGGTTACCGAAGGTGATTCAACTCTAGATTATTGGGACTGCCAATTGCAAACAGCGTGCAAACATCTGTTACTTGCGCAGCTTGACCAGAATGTAAAGTTGTAGTTTTAGTTTCATTTGCAGGAGGCCACCAGTGCAGCTTTGTGAATAAACGACTGGTTCAGAAAATACATCTCCGAGTCACAAGAACACTGCACTTAGATACTATCCAAGACAGCTTGACAAGAACACATTCCGTAGCTTTTTGTCACTCGTAGATCACTGCTTCGTTGCATGTCGCTGCAGGTCAGTAGCCTCATCAGGCAAATCAGCCACCAATGCATCTATCTGCCAAGCAGAGGCTTCTTCGAAAAGCTCGAACACCATGCGCATTATTTCACATGCAGTGGCCAAGCTGAAAGCCATAGCGATGGCCACGTCTTATTGGCTCTGATTAGTATTCGTCATTTCTCACGTGAAATGCACTGAATTTAGACAATCGGCTTGATGCCATCGAAGCCACATTAAGACGGGCTCCGCAGGAACCACTCCGTTGCAGTGGAACAGTGCTTATGGTGCTCGGACGCTGATCAGAAGGTCAGGAGTTTAGCCCAGGCCACGGCTGTAGAATTCAACGAAACGTTAAAATGGTATAATGCCTCGTAGAACCTCGTAGAAGTGTAGAATAACGCCAGGCGTGAAGACACACCAATAGCACATCGGGCAAAGGGTTTAACTGTCCAAGAACTAAACAGCATTAATATATATTCCATAATGATTACCAGCTGAAATATCACTTGTGTGGGCAGCTTTGTCAATACGTGTGTTGCCTTACGGACACTTAGTGGACCGTTCACTGGTTGTTTATAAAAGATAGCTAAGTCGGATATTCGCAATTCTACTGTAGCAGGCTTTCGATGGAACTTCCAAACAGCCATTGTTAACGGCACGAAGGCTACTTTCTGTGTCGTGCTTGAGGGGCAAAGCGAGAACCTCAGCGAGGTTATTGATGTTTAGGGTGTCGCCAAAGCCCTCCGACCGCACTATAGTGCTCTGCTCTTGACGTGAAGCGCAAGCGTCCTCAAACTTTTTTCCACTTGTTCTCCATTCTAAATTTAATAGCAACCAGTATAAACGTTGTGATTTCATATCAAGTTTTAAATGGGTGCTATCAACAATTCTTGTGAATTGTGCACAGTGCCTCATATCTTGTTTTCTTTGTGCCGTGAAAACTAGCCTTTTTAACAAGGTAATGAACATTTTAAATACTAAAATATGCCAGTTAACATTTCAACTAGGCTCGTCGATACAGTGGCTAGATAACACAAGCCCAGCTTAGAGATTTTCAAATCAGAAGCTTTTGTGTACCCCTTCCTGTAATATTGCTATCTTATGTATGTAGGATATTCATATTATGACATGTAGTACTGCATGCTTTATACTGTTGAGCTCTAAATCATGCGTTCCCTCCAACCCCAGCGACATCAATGAATAGCGCGGAAATGCATGCAAAAAAAAAGGCTCAGTAGAAAATATTTTGTTATCACTGATGTGTACAGTATTACGCAATACACGCATAAGTATAGCTGCATCAACTAGCAATGTTTTAAATAGGCATCACTTTTTTGAAGCCTCTTCCGCTCTGCTTCAATACAGTGATACACCTCACCATAAAATACGACCACTGTCAAATTCACCTACTTGGAAAAGGTATCAAGTTCTGCGAGCACTTGTGCGATGCGGTGATCTCTGGTGAATGGAATCCATCCAAGTATTCGCCGTACGTTCTTTGGTAGGAATTGGTGTGCCGTGTTAGAGAACACTGTGGAGCCCACACGATTGATCAGTCGATGGAGCTTCGGGCGCGTCGGGTGGTCGTGGGTGAACAGGCCACCATAGAAGAAGGATACGATGTTGTTGAACGTGCATGGCATCACGCACCCCATCACATCAAGAGGCTTTCCATTGGCATTGCCAATGCTGTCAGCGACGCGGCGGAACTCTTCCTGTTGTCGTCAACAGGAAGTAGGGACATGGAAGAAAAATTAAACAGGAAAACTGTGCGAACATTTCGAAAAAAATTGTGAACACTGAGATACATCAGCGCGAAGACTAAAGCGAATTCAATAAGAATAATGCATGCCTCGAGAAATCGGTTCTTTTTGGCCTTGTAAATATCGATTACTTTCTGAAGTCATCGCTATAGAATGTCCCCATCTGAAATTTTGCGATGTTTTCTGGACTTGCCAAATAGAAATTAGTTAATTCTAGGTTAAGTGGCCAATCATATTTACCCAAGAAATTGAGTTGTACTCCACAAAATGCTTTACGACGCTTAGAAGCTTTTTTTGTGAAAAGCTGGAGTGAATTGCCCAGTGATTCGTAATGGAAACGAAGAATTTTTTGTTCTTTTTTTGATTGAAAGCGCCGAAACGTTTGTCACATGTCACAGAAGGCTAACAGATTACTCCTATGTACCCTCCACTCTTACACATGGGGCAGTGCGAAAGATGGTGGGATAAGAGAAAGGACAACAGCATAGTCCAGCGGAATCTATTTGCCTAACACGATAATAAAACTTACAATAATAAATACTTCACAATAATAAAACAAAAAGGCTAGTCTGACGAGAAGAGATAACAACTGCTTTACGTGAATGTGTTATTGTTCGACTACAACACAAATAAATCAGACGGGTTCTTTTATAGATGTAAAATATCTCCATATCTGTTAAATCAACACACCCTCGTGCTCTTTGGCAGATACGCTACAAAATTCAACACAAACTACCAGCGTAGATTTTTTTTCGCAGATGACGATTGCAAAATAGAACAAAATATTTCGCTTCATTACTACACGGTTGTTATTTCTCAAGAAAAGTGTAGCTTTAGAAAGTCAACAAGCGCTTGCTTGAATGGTAATTATTACTGTTTTTTTTTCACTGAAATGCAGCACCTAACATGAAAGTTATACAACCAGGTGGCTAAGACATTACTGAAGTCCGCTATTATTTACGTGTAAATACCAAAAAGCTGTTCAAGATAGAGAAATTGTCGTTCCGCCAAACTTTTATGACGTGAACTTCTTTTTCTTCATTATAGGCTCCGCCTGTTCATAGCGTAGTACACCATCTGTTACTTCCTGGATCTATTACAGGTGAGTCTACACTTTAAACCAGTAGGTAAGAATTAGGGCTGCGTTAATTTTTGACAATATCAACAACGAAATTAAATAGTGTTCGATTCCTTTCGGTTCTAAGAAACTGTTAGCACAGGCCTAAGAAGTATACGTACAGTAAGTATATCGTAATGAAGCCTACAAAACAGCTGAATACTTCGAGTTGAATGTAGAGAATTCCAAGTTTCCTACAGTATGCCTGATTGGCAATCGCTCGATGTAAGTATGAACATTTTACAAATACTACGAAGAGATTCGGTGTTGCGTGGACGAGATTTTATAATCACTGTAGTTACCAACGCTTCCGTTCAAACAGCTGAACACCTATGCAACATGTATCCCTCAGTTTTGATGATGTGCTGACACTCAGCCAACCACATGATGCTGCATGTGCTCATATACAATTGAGCATAAGGAAACAGAAACGAGGACGTCGTTTTCAAGAGCTTGAACTTGTTTGTGAAATTTCATGCTTTCGCCACTTTTGTTTGTTCTTGCTACCGGACACGTAAGTCCTGAGCAAAGGCCTCATCAGAAGACATATAAGTCTCTTTTTGCTTTACTTTATAGACATATATATATATATATATATATATATATATATATATATATAGGTGTGTGTCTGAAACAAACAAATGAGAATGAAAGTTGAATTTACCAGCCTCAAAAATATGCACTCTTACGGTACCTGTCGCACGGCACTAAAAAGTACACGCATCGACTCTGTAGTCCTAGATGGGCTGACTTGGAATGTTGTCGCCAGGTGTAACGGCTTCACAATCCTTACTTGCATCAATATAAGGAATTCAACATGGAAAAACATCTTACCATCATGTGACCTTCCATAGCAGTCTTTGCAAAACCCAAGTCACGTAGCATAGACAAACAAAATCTTCTGTTAGCGGTCCAGGCTTTTCCATTCAACTGACCCAGACCTGAAAACGTCATCAGTGAGCATTACATTGAATATTTCAAGCATGTCAACTGGCAGCACCAAGCACAGGGTCCTATTAGTTGGTGGAAAGTGGGAGAGACCTTTGCCCTACAGTGGAGGCAGTCAGACTGTTCATGACGAAGTTTGTGGTTACATGAGGTAGGACACGGGCATGTAGTGGGTTTCAGGCTGTCGCGTGGCTAGTTCTATCATTACTTGTGCGTGCCGCGGAATTTGCGCTGGAGAAAGACGACGACAAACTCGCGCTGCTGTTATTTTAACAGTAAACACCTATTTAAAATTTTCTGAATCCGCTTTAAGAAGGCGACAATTTGTATTCTTTGCCGAGCCTGGTGTCCTTTTCAATGAGCATTGGTCCCGTGTATATAAACCCCAAGTGATATTTGTTCAAACACTTCTAGATGCTTTAAATGTTATTATATTTGAGATCACACCATCTGTCAAACCAATCGGTCAAGTGCAAATAGAGTTTGACGATATCTTCCCCATGAACGCTAAACACTTGCCCTCTAAATATTTGATTGGTTTATTAGAACAACACCTGTCTCAATTAGGTACTAATACAGTAATTGCAACGGATGCATCTATGAGTGGCGAGAAGGCAGGTGTGGGTATTTTTTTTCTCTCATTATTCTGGTCATTTCCATTACGCCTCCCAGATTATACACCAATACTTGAAGCGGAATTAACGGCCGTTATACTAGCTATTCGTAAATTTCCTGCGACTCATTCGACAGCTGTGATAGTGACTGACTCGTATTCCGTGTGTTCATTCTTCTCATCGTCGTCGACATCAGCAGTAATAGAGACTTTTAAATCAATAATCCCAGCAAACATTCGTCTAGTGCGAATGATATGGGTGCCAGGTCATCGTAGTATATTTATAAACGAGATGGCTGACAAACTTGCGCGAACATCTCTTGATCTTCCGATTGTGCCCATCATGCCTCCTACAGCTTATGTAACAGCAGCGAGGTTTAGAAAACTTTCTCTTCTTGAAGACTCATCAAAAACCATGATACCTAATCCAGATTTCTCGCACCTGCACTTCACAAGGAATAATAAATGGTGTCCCACGCGTAAATTGGAAGTCTTGGTAACAAAATTACGTTGCCATGTACCACCTCTTAATTTTTACTTAAACAGGTCTGGTCTGGTGCCATTCCCTCTGTGCTCAAGCTGTAACGAACCTGAACATATCGACCATTTTTTTATCACATGTCACCGATTCAAAAATCAAACAAAAAACTGCTTCGAAATTTTATTCGAAAAATTAGGAATATCACTTAATACTCCCAATATTTTGTCTTTTGGGGCCATTTCATTGGGACACAGCGACAGGAACATCTGCGGGGCTCTCTGCGAATTCATATATAACACAAGAAGAATACCTTGCTGAGTCAGCGATCAGCTCTCGAATTTTACTAGTCACACTACCACTTATTATTTAGCTGATACACTGCAATGATTCAACTTTCAGGAGAATTTCATATAACGATTCCACCACAGATATTCAACAAATTCTATTATTTCTCCCCTCCTCTTTTTTTTCTTTTTTTTCTGACATTGCGCCAAAAAATTTTAACAGTCAAAACACAGTAATCATATTCCCCTAATCTAGAAACTGTATAGGTATTTACTTGCATTAACCACCGGCTTCTTAGCCAATCTCCCTTAGCGGGTGAGAGCCACAAAAGAAAGGAACAAGCAAGCAAGCAAGTTACGAGAGGTGGCGGAATAGTGACAACGATTTCGAGCAAACTTTGCCTCAAAGCCAAATTGATGTTAAAGCTCCTCTCTCCGGCCTACAAAATATTAGTTGTAGGCTTAACTCTCCAGAGCGGGTAGGTTTTGCTTACTTTCCTTCAGGCGTACACGACACTCGGCCATTAGATACCGTAATAACCACGTGTGGAGGAAACGTTTTACTAGCAGGTGATATCAACTCCCACCATGTCACATCGGTAGTAAAAACTGATAAGTGTGGGAGCCGAATGTGGCATTGGGCCCAAGATAATCATTTTTCATGTCAGAATTCGAGAAGCCCAACATACGTAGGAAGTCATACTTCTTCAGCGCTAGATTTACCTTTTACAAGCTCGAACCTTAATGTTTCATCTTTGTCAGTCGTTGATTGCGCAACAGCGACGACCACTTGCCGATTACTTTCGAAATAGAAAGTCAGATAGCCTCATCAATCTCTATTACTCGTACGCATATTAACTATTCAAAATTTAAGGATTCCTTCCTTTCTTCACTGTCATCGTTGTCAGATAATAGCTCGATGACAAAGGCTCGGAGCTTATATTCTTTATTGAAGAATTCCCGAGAGATATATGATTCGTGGTGTCGTCAGCGAATCATAACTCGAATTCTCCTTGGTGGAATGACGATTGCTCGAGGGACTGTAGACGCAGAAAGGCAGCATGGAAAAAGTTTTTGTACAATCAGTGCCCTCAAAATTGGAAAGACTACCAGTTAATTGCAGGTGTTTTTAAACGTACAGTTGCCATGTCAAAAGAAGATTACGAAAGGTGGAAGTTATCTTTCTAGATCCAAGAATAAAAAAGCGTCATTTAGATTTCTACGTAGAAAGGAAATGATTCCGCAATCAATAAATACAGACTCTATCCTTTGTCGGCTGAAGAAACAAAAGCTTCATTAGAAGTGATTGCTAAGGAATTAGAGCAACGTTTTTCCAGCCAACTATCATCACCTCCTTCACCCGCGCGAAGGGACGAGGACTTCACAGACGTTTCCAAGCATGAATTATCGCAAGTGTTAGCTAACTTGCCATCAGCGGCTCCGGGCCCTGACGGTGTTACCTCGTTCATGTTGAAACTGATGCATAAAGAGTGCCAAGAATACCTATTGGATGTAATCAACTGATTCTTTAGGTACAGCATGGCTCCTATTTGAGTGAAAAATAGCAAAGGTAATACCAATACTGAAAGCTCCGGTAAAGGATACGTTTTGTATAACATTAGGCCGATTGCGTTAACCTCAAACTTTGTAAAGGTAATTGAGAGAATCCTGATTGTTCGAATAACAAATTTCATCAATGAGAGAAAAATTCTGAATCCATCTCAAATTCGCTTCAGATCCCGATGCTCCATATGGCAGGCCCACATAGACCTTGAAAGTCGCATAAAATTAGCTAACTGGGATGAAAATTTTGCTGCGCTCGTCACTCTCGATATAGCAAAAGCGTGCGACAGCGTTGAGCATATAGTGTTAATCAACCAGCTGCACAACCTTAACTTACCAAACTATATACAATCATGGATAGCAGAATTTTTACGCAATAGAACGTTTTATTGTTACAAAAACGGCATCTCGTCTTCTAAATATGTGCAAACAAGAAGTGTCCCGCAAGCGACCGTCCTTTCCCCGATGTTGTTCAATATCTTGATGAGCTCTGTACCTCGGCACCAGGACGTCCACACTTATGTATATGCGGACGACATCGCAATCTTTTCAGCAGCAGAGGACATTCATAGGCTATTTAAAATATTACAGACATACCAATCGGCCATAGAAATGTGGCTTGATAGCTTACATCTGTATTTAAATCTCAAGAAAAGTTCTGTTTTAACATTTCCACTCAAAGACCCTTTTCACATTTCGCTCTCCTATCACCTGGATCATATCCCTCAAGTAGTGAATGTGAAATACCGGGGGGTGACCTATGACCAATCAATGTCTTGGAAGACACACATTGAAAACATTGCTGCAAAGGGAGGTCGTGCAATGGGAATATTAAGCAAAATTAGTAATAGTCGCTTAGGTATGCGGAGAAATACTCTTATCTCAGTGTAGTGTATGTACATTCGCCCGGTGCTTGAGTTTGGGTGTGTGTTATACGCCGGGGCACCTGCCTACAAGATACATCCTCTGGTAGTCATAGAGAGAGAAGCCTTGAGACTATGCTTAGGTCTCCCCAAGTTTATTTTAATCAATATCTTGTATCTTGAAGCTAGGCTTCCCTCACATGCGACCCGTTTTAAATTGTTAGCTGCACAGGCATTTTTTAGGCTGTATAAATCGCCGGTAAGGCGCCTAGAAACAGTTTTTATTGACCGTCCTGACTTGTTGTTTGGACAATACTGGCCGAGATCACGTGTACCACAAATTTTGGTTATACAACGCTTTCTAGATGATTTAGATGTTCAAATTGATGCTGTTCCTTTAATCAGTACCAATAACAGAGCTATTAAATAACAGTTTGATGATATATTCTCGAAAAATTCAAAATTGATGCCGCTCAGTTTTTTAGGAGCTATATTAAGAGATTACCTGGAACATATGCCAATACAAGCAGTCATAGGAACTGATGCGTCACAAAGAGAAGGAAAATGTGAAATTGGTATTTTTTTATCCTGCCCTAGACTGGTCCTTTTCGCTTCGCCTTCCCGATTATGTGCCCATATTTGAAGCAGAATTTTTTGCGATAATTTTTGCTGTCCGTAAAATAACTGCTTCAGTAAGAACTGCAATAATCTTAACAGATTCACTATCAGTATGTGCCTCCCTTACTGCAGATGAGAACTCGCATGCTCAAAACGCTTTCAAAGCATTAGTTCCCTCGCATCTCAATCTCATCAAACTGTCTGGGTTCCTGGACATAAGGGCATTTATATGACTGAAATGGCAGATGCGTTGGCCAAGTAATCTTTCAATGGGCCTGTTATTGATGTATTACCGGCACCGAACGTCTTGGTAGGCGCTAGATTAAGAAGGAAACTACTGTTAGAGGAATTTTCTACACCTTCACTAACAGCCACACCAGAATTCAAGCAGTTGTTATGCCATTGGAACAGTAAAATATGTCAAACGCGAGGAATGGAAGTTGCAATCACTAGACTGCGCTGTCAAATTCCAAAGCTGAATTTATATTTACACAGAGCTGATCTGGCAGCCTCCCCTCATTGTCCTGTTTGTGGAGTAAATGAGTCAACTGAACATTATCTCATTTATTGT